CCATCGCCATCATCTATAGTTGCGGGCGTCGTGCAATTACGCGCACCACCCGCTGGCATTGTGTGGTGCTTGTATTTATTTTTATTAAATGAAATCAAAAGCAATCATAAATAAACTTAAACTCGTTTGACCACAAAATACACAAGCGACAACAACAACAACAACAACAAACACATGCACAGATACTTAAACTTAAATTACAGATTGGTATGTAAAAAACGTGCATGCGAATTGCGGGCAAGCTGATTGTAAGCAACAAACTTTGATTCGCTCACCAAGTGGGATATGGCCAAAACGAAGGCACTTCATTACCTTCGTGGGCAGTGGAGTGTGGTCTGAAGTGTGTCAATATCTCTGTGAGTGTGCGTGTGTATATGTGTGTGTGAGTGTGTATTGGATGATTGGCTTTGTAACTGTATCAGTCGCGGACTTGGTCTCTGTTTCTGGCTTTAACATTGGCTTTGACAATGCTATATAGAGTGCGAGTCCGGGCGCAACCGTAATGTAATTGTTACTATGACACTGACACCACCTCCACCTCCCGGCTGCGACTCCCAACTCCCTCATCAATGTGCACATTACTCATTCTACTGAGCTGCGCCAATTCAAAGGCGAACGAACAAAGATTTTATTTTAACGTCCAACTAGCATGGAATGCACTACACTCCAATGGGCATATTGGTTTTTAGATAAGCTCAGCGGGAATAAAGTGAAAGAAAAGTGTATTGAAATATTGAAATGAGTTATAAATATATCATGAGAGATCTGCTCATGTTGCTTATTTGGCTAGCGATGTGAGCTAATTAAGAATGCAGTTATTATTGTGAATTTAATTTAATTTTGTATCCTTAATTTTTTTAAAGTTTGTTTCCAGCTTCAATTTTAATTACATTTATTAAGCATGCCCTCTGCATGACTAAACACAAAATTCTTTAATTATTCAATTACATGTTCAATGGCTTGACAAATTCAAGGCTTGGGGCTTAAGTTTACATGCTTCACAGTTGATTTTGCTTAACATATGATTTCTTTTAAACTAATTTTAAAAGAGCATAAACATATTTTAGTTCCAATTTAGATTCAATTGTTTTTTTCTATATTTGGGTTTATTGGTCTAGTGTATAAAAATTTTAAATATTAAAATTAAGTCTAGACTCTTTATAGATTTATTAAAATTTTTAATATAATAAAACCAAAAAAATTAATAATTTATAATTACTAAATAATTAATAAATACTTTTAGTACATTTTCCACAAATTATTTCATTTGTTTTATTTAATTTTTTTTTAATTTTTTGTTTCTCCTGCATTTTTCAATTTTCTCACTTTATTTCGCTTTCTTCAGCCATTATCTATATATCCTTCCCGTTTCCTCTACATATAATTGTTTTCTTTTTAAGCTGGCTTTTAATGCTCTTGCAATTGATGAATATTGCCCGCAATGCACCGATTGCGGCCTGGACTCTCTCTGTGCAGCGTCTTACCCGGGTCGCCTGTGCTCTGAACTTTTCAAAGATTATCTCGAGTCGTTGCAGCTCGTGCTGCGCACTTTTCAGCTTAAGTTACGGTTGCAGTTTCTGTTTCAATTTCTGTGCAGTTTCTTTTTTTTTTTGTTCATGTATTTTTTTGTTTTTTTTTTTATTTTTTATATTTTTTTCTTTTTGCGTCGATTTTTATGATCCAGTATTTACAAGCGTGTTTAATCGTAATCGCATCGCAGCAGCAGCCACAGCAGCGTTGTTGCTGTTGTTGTTGTCGTTGTTGTTACTCACAATATGTTGCTGTTGCTGTTGTTGTAGCTGCTGCCTTTTTGCATATTTCTCTCTCGGCTCAATCAATTCGCAGTTGATTTTTTATTTCAGTTTCCCACTCATTTGCATTTACCATAAATTCAATTAAAGTGCTCCGTCGCTGTCTGTTTTTCTGCTTTTATTTTTTACTCATTTATTTCCAGCTTCCACGGCCCATTTTACAACACTTTTACGGTGCTTTTACAGCACTATTTTCGTCGTTTTTTTTTTGCATCTGTGCGACTTTTGTTTTCTTGATTTTCTATCCCTCCCGCTACAGCAGCAACCGATGGAAGAGGGGGAGCGTCCGTCTTATTTACACGCTTTTAATTCCATTTCAATTGCACAATTAATCATGCGCTTGGCACAACTTGGCACTCACACACACACACGTACTCACATGGATATTCACTTTTTGGATTTTCCTTGTGCGTGTTTCTCTTGAAGTTCAACGGAGCGTATGAGCGATTTTTACTTGTCTCAGCTGCTTGTTGTTGAACTCTTTTGTGTTAATTAAACGCTTTAATATCGCTGCGCTTTGCTGATGTTGTCATAACAGTACACACAAGCACTAACACACTCGCACACACACTCACACCCGAAACACACACCCACCTGGCTTAAACAATTGCATTTTTTAGTGGCGTTCCGTGCAAAATGATTGATTTGATTTCTCAGCCTGAGTCAAGAAACGCGCTGCGAAGCAACAAACTCAGCCAACGCACAATGGCAAAGCACATTATTTATGGCGCTCAATGAGCTCCAAGTGCATGAATTTACTTTTATTATTTTATTATAGTTTTTGTTTTGTTTTTTTTTTTCTTTTTCTATCTTTACCCGTTTTTAAATACAACTCAAGTATTTTTCTTTCCAATATCTGTGCTCAGACGCTGTGTGGAGTCGTTGGAGTCGGTGGCTTTTAAGGTGCGTCGCATTCGTGTTTTGAATAGCGGAAATTCCACATGAGCACACACCAAAAAGACAACCGCCTGTCACAGTTGCAGTTGCTCCAGCAATAGCAACCACAACAACAGCAATTGCAGCCAGTTGTGAACGAAAAGTATCTCACAGATACGCGCTGTAGCTATGCAATAACATTGACATTTAGAATGCAGCTCGCGCCGCACTGAACCATTCATAATTGCAAATCTCTGCCATAAAAAGCTATGAAAATCAATAGCAATACCAATGGCAAAAAAACGCACAAAAAAAAAAAAAAAACGCACCGGACACACACAGCAGAGAGTGCACACAAATCCACAAATCCACTGACCTTGTGGCCCCGACCATAAAAAATTGCGTATCGATTCCGTCGTTTTTGACGTATTTTTAGCCGATTTGGTCGCTTTGGCGATGTCGGTCGTGCTCTGAGCCTGATTTCAAGCCAGAGTCGTGCACTGGACGGGGCCAATTACAGTGCACTTGCCACTTGCCCATGGATCGGGCCAAGATGCCGACCACGACCGCAAATTGAAATTGTAGCTGGGTGGGAGGCAATGCACGCCAGCCAAGACGGGACAGCTAGTGCCACACGAGACAGCTAGTGGGGGGAGACAGCTTATGGCCTGTTGGAGTCAAGCGCCTGAGATCAATAAATAAATCTTAAGGATGAATAAATCTTACATCGAAGTGCAATTGAAAATAAAATATATATGCGAGTATATATATAGTGTGGCTAAGCTAGAAAGGATTGTGCTTTAGTTATTATGTCAAGTGGCCCTGTTGGGCAGATAGATATAGATATAGATATAGATATAGATACAGATACAGATACAGATACAGATACAGATTCAGATACAGATACAGATACAGATACAGATACAGATACAGATACAGATACAGATACAGATACAGATACAGATACAGATACAGATACAGATACAGATACAGATACAGATACAGATACAGATACAGATACAGATACAGATACAGATACAGATACAGATACAGATACAGATACAGATACAGATACAGATACAGATACAGATACAGATACAGATACAGATACAGATACAGATACAGATACAGATACAGATACAGATACAGATACAGATACAGATACAGATACAGATACAGATACAGATACAGATACAGATACAGATACAGATACAGATACAGATACAGATACAGATACAGATACAGATACAGATACAGATACAGATACAGATACAGATACAGATACAGATACAGATACAGATACAGATACAGATACAGATACAGATACAGATACAGATACAGATACAGATACAGATACAGATACAGATACAGATACAGATACAGATACAGATACAGATACAGATACAGATACAGATACAGATACAGATACAGATACAGATACAGATACAGATACAGATACAGATACAGATACAGATACAGATACAGATACAGATACAGATACAGATACAGATACAGATACAGATACAGATACAGATACAGATACAGATACAGATACAGATACAGATACAGATACAGATACAGATACAGATACAGATGCAGATGCAGATGCAGATGCAGATGCAGATGCAGATGCAGATGCAGATGCAGATACAGATACAGACTAGTGACAACTACAACTACTACAATTCCCCAATGACATTTGACTTTATTAAATTTAATAAGCTGCGTTAGGGAAGATCTTCGTCAAACAGCTTCATAATAAGCTCTCAAGCATCCTCCAAGCATTTCCACACATTTTTCGCAATTCTCCCCTTCCACCACACCCGATTGACAACATTTTTTCCATCGAAATACTTTTGCGATGAGAAGACAAACAAAAATAACGAAGCACATAACGTTCTTTAGACAGGCACGCTTCGAGCATCGTAGACCAGACATAAACAATGCCGTAATGACCCACTCAGCAAGCAACCGCACAGCAACAGCAATAGTAACAGCCAGCACATGATAGAAAGATGGCATCATAACTTAAACATAAACGTCACCATTAAAAAATTGGCAACAATGCCCAAAAGTGGCATCAAGTGGCGCGTTGCAATGCGCAGGCGATGGCAAAGGCGATTGGCGCAGGTAAACACAGGTAACTCAAGTAGCTAACACACTGCACCAGTGACTGCGACGCCGAAACGAACCCAAATTCAATAGAAGCACACTCAGCCGCGACGCTTTAAGAGAGACAGTCAGCAGCCAAATGCGAACCAGTTAAGAGTCGACTCGAAGAGACTGAGACCGAGAAACCAGCCACAGCTTCAGCTTCAGCCTCAGCCTCAGCTACAGCTGCGACTAAGCCGGGCTCCAGTCGGACAAGCGGAGCGAAAACGAAATCAAACTGAAACCGAAAGTCAAACGCAGCTGAGCTCGAACGGGCGCCAACGGCGATCGTCTCTTAACGGCGAAGAAGAAGAAGAAGAAGACAGAATCACAAATATCAAAGAGATATCACTGCTGCAGTCGCTGTCTGCGTCGCCGTCGCTGCTCGCTGCTCGCTGTTCGCTGCTTGCGTCGGCTGCGCATGCTCAGTTTTTGGCGTCTTCAAGCGTTTGGCCCAACTGGCAAAGGTTTCAGTCGTAATTTTGGCAGCCGAACGTGCAGAGCTTTTCGTCCAAGAGACGCGCGTGCCGATCCACCATCGCAACAACAACAACAACGAGTCTAATTACAACAAGTGCGTAGTGTGAGTTATTAAAACGATGAAAAAGCAAAGCAAGTCTATCTGTAAATCAGCTGCAGAAAGGAATGCACAATTATTTTTGAAGTGTAAATAATACGTGCGAATATCGAAAAGTGCACAAAGTCCAGATACAAATGTATCTTCAAGTGCGTTGCATGTGTATCTCGTAATTGGCATCTGTTTGGCAAGGCAAACAGACTTGGCAGACTCAACTCAGTTTTTCGTTTTTATGCAAATCTGAACTTTTGCAATTATCGCACAACAAATTGCGGCTGCAATCGACGAAAAAAAAAAATTAAAAGAAAAAAAAAAATAACTATAATAACTACTTGTAAATATTTGAAGTTTGCGCATTTAATTAAAACAAAATTTGCAATCAAATTTGATTAACATATAACATATAACATAACATGGCATGAGTAAAACCAACACAAGCAACAACAACAACAACTAGTGAGTACTCAAATTGTTGAGCACTCATTCAACAGCAGAAACCGCAGATGAATCAAGACCCCAAAATAGAAAAAAACTAAAGTAAAACCGTGGAAAAGCGTCAAGTGTGAGGTTCTCGTGTGATCTACGATCATTATTGCTTATGAGCACTCGATGCATGCAGCGAACAGGTCTCTGCAAATCTGGTAGCTGCATTAATTACAAATCTATTTAAATGAGTTTGACAGCCCAGGCGCAGGTGAGCAGCAACAGTAACAGGTGCTAAAGATGATCATTTGAAGTGATGTCGCAATATCGCAATGGATTAAATATTTAAATGATAATCAGATATGATGGCTGAGTAAGAAACTTAGACAAGTTTTTATAATGGCAGCTGGCTCTAGTTGATTAATCCAATGGCCAGCAAAAGTGACACTGAATAAGAATCTTGAATGAATATAAATGTCAAATTAAATGGAAACTAAAACAACAACAAAATAATAATAATAATAATAATAAAAATTATAATGCAACAATATATATTTTGAAAATAATTTATCTATATAAATGTTGACCTTTTTAAAATGTAGGAATTCCCAAATTAATGTTGATTTAGTTTTGCTTGAGCATTTGGCAAACTCATTCATAGTGAAACTGCAAAGAATGATATAAGCAGTTCATATAAAGAACACAATATTTTGCCAATCATTGTAGACTAGTTCAGTTCTAGTTAATTATATAACAAACAGAAATAGATATAGATTCATATATAATTGTTGGGACAATTTCAGATAATTGAAGCTTATTTTCATTTGAAAAGAATTTCATAATTGGGTGTTGAGCGCAAATATTATTATTATTATAATTATAATTGAGAAGGTAAGGTAAACACCAAGTCTGATGAGTTTGAGAATTTTGTGCAAAATAAAATCAAATTGAATAAAGAATTAAATTTGATTTTTTTTATATTTTATTTTAAGCAAACATTATGAGTAAACATTAAATATTATGACTGTATAATGATCCACATATCTCTATAGATTAAAATATATATATTTAAATTATATTATATAAATTTTTCTTTTTGAATTTGTGACTACATAAACCAGATTTTTTTATATATCCAATTTTGCAAATTTTCACGTATTTTCTGTGGCATATTACCTATATTCTATTTAGGCTTGAGCTAAACGTTTATATATATGTATATGCCATGATCTATAAAATAACCTGATTTTATATGAATTCAAAGAATTAAGCCCTGAATTTGAATTTGTTGATCAGCCAAACAAACTCAAAATAAATGTTACACATATATTTGTTCTATACTTTGTACATTCTCAATTACCAGCTTATATATTAGGTATATAGTATATAACTTCCGAAATTAGGCAATACATTTGTGCAATAAATACGAATTAATTGCTTTTAAATTAATGAATTCATAATTTTTTAATTTGTTATACCTTAAAACAAGCTCTAAAATAAATTTACGCCTTTTGCTTCCATGAGCTGATTGGAATTCAATGAATTGTTGTTCCCAAGTGCTTTCTATAAATACTATAACAAAATAATTGAATATGTAAATTGAGCTCAGCTTTTGGCATGAGTCAATGAACCGTATAAGCTGATAAATAATGGTAGTATTTTCGGCTTAAGCTAACTGCATTTGGTTCTACTGTATTTCTGTTTTGTTTTTTTCTTTCGCTCTTTTTAATTTGCAGGAATTTAAGTATCATTTGACAGTTGATTCAACGCACTGCTCTGCTTATTTGAAGGTTTTTGATAGATTATGGCATGGGTAATGCTCATTTGATTGCTAGCAATGCAGTTCACCTCGTAGTCAGTCACTTTTCATATAGTTCACGACAATGATCGATCACACTGCACGCTCTCTTGGCAATTATAAGGCTAACTGTATGGTGGATCACTTTTCTCACCCCCAAGTGCAACATCCTTGGCATACTCTATCAATTGTCGATTATTCAGTGCCATGACGCATCGCAAATTCAGTTACACAGTTACTGTGAAGTGATATAGACAACTAGCAAATTACTTTACAAAATTGTAACATGCACAAATATGAGCATACATATGTATATAGAGCCGTTCGGCTGCCATAATCCACAGAGCAAGGCACACCACACCGACACCAAAAACCACATCCACCCGCAGCTGGCCTCAGTTTGTCTCTCACCATCTCGCCCTCCCTCGGCCACTCTCACTGTTGGCCTGGTCGCTACCCCGTTGATGGCTCGCCGATGTGTTGGCCAACTGTGGCTAGCTGCTGGTTCACCTCGCACATCTTGGCCAGCCAGCCAGACAGTCAGCCAACAAGCGAAAGATACTTAGATGCTAAGACGACGTTGTGTGCTGCTGCGGCTGCTACAATGCCAGGCAAAACCAAATAAAATCAAAAAGCATACAAAATGCATTTTACAAAATAAAGAAAAATAACTTTGAACTGCAGTTGCAGTTGCATAGTCTCGACCACAGCATCTGTTTTGTCTAGAGCTTTGCTTCTGGCGCAGATTAAAGCCACAAAATGACTTAACTTATAAGCAGCTCAATGCCTGCCTGGCATTTGCAGTTGCAGTTGTAGTCGCTCTTGTTGCTGTTGCTGCTGTTGTTGTTGTTGTTGTTATTGCTGATGCCGCAACAAGTTCGTGTAATCAATGCAATTTAGTCGCTAGCCATGTCAGGAATGTGGTGCATAGGTCGACTGCCAGTTAGCCACCATACGAAAACACGTCTCGTCCGACTCTCAGCCGCTCAGTGTGACGTGTGAATAGAGATTGCCAGAATAGAGGTTTTGCAATAGATCGAGCATAGATTGAAGATTGCACCGGCCAGGCAGCCACTTGAGCTGGGGTGCCTACTTTGTGGCGCATTCAGGCGTAAATTCATTGCTCAAAGGTGTTCTAATGGTTGCCCAAATGAGCCCCCGATGGCCCATTGTACAATTCGTGCATATGCACCAAATACATCAGCTGCTTAGATATTACAATACCGATATTGCCAGACTGCTATTAAGCCCAGCTACAGCTACTAACTAGCGGTGAGAGGCGCTAAACAAGTTGAGTTTGCCAATAGTCAAGAATTTATAGACAACCTAGAGAAACTTGTTTCACGCGTTAGATCAATATAATAGAATCGAGGGGCAGACAAATTATATGTTATATTGTTTATATTTTGTTAATTTTATTTTGCCAATGTTGCCATTCCATCATCTTCTTAAGCTCAGCTGGTTTTATATATATGTACATATACATACATATATAGTTAAGCACATTTCAAATGTATGTCATATATGTATGCAATATGTGTTATATAACATGCTGTTTTAATTTTTTAAATAAAATGATTCGCTTTTTAAAAGGTTTTCACAGGCCTACCATTTAATAAAAAGTTCCATATCCTTCCTTGAAATCTCTTTATAACTTTTTTCTTTGTATTGCCAATCAAATTTTTCATAAAACAGCTTTACTATTTTTGATTAATTTTTTGTTCTAACAATCTATTTAATTATTTTGTCTTCTTTGAATCTTTTCTTATTTCACTGAATTTTTTCAAGCTCGACATACAAATATTATATATATTAGTACATAGAGCTACGTCTTATTTGTTTTCTGCTTAAGTTGATTGAGATTAATGAATTCTTATTAAATTTTCTATACTCACGATATATTTATTGATAAATAAATAAACAAAAATATAGTGATTGTAATTTTTTTTGTAAATTATTTGTTTACTTATGAATAAATATCGTTTGTTTTATGGAAACGCTACAGCAGCTTTAAATAATATTTTAGACATTAGTCAAGTTCCAATAAATTGTACCCACAGAGTAATTTTCTCTAATTCCAACTTCATTGCATTATTCTCTAACCCAATGAATAGCTTTTTTTTATTCCTCATCATAATATACACAAAAATAACGAATTCATTTTCTTTAAAAAAAAGTAAAAATATATTTTTAAAAATTTCGAAATTAAGAAATTCAATATAATGAAATAGCCATCATTATATGATCTACTTAAGCAGCAGTACTTAGTTTTGTAATTTCTGTAATTTTTACATCAGAGCACATTTCCCAGATGATTTAACTCGGCTCGGCCGCAAAGTTTTTCCCTGATCACGCGCATCATGCATTAGTTAAGAGCTGGCCTGTGTGGCAATTGCGGAACCCATTTGGCCGACTATTAACAGCTTTATAGTTCAAAATGATGCTGAGGTATGTTGAAGTACAGTGGAGCACACTTAATTGCACTCGCTGGGCTACACACACACACCCATTTGTGCCTCAAGGCGAGACCCTAAGGCAAGGTTCTTCAGATCGCTTAGGCAGCGCCGTCAATTGCTGTTTTGACCTTTTGCATTTTGGCTAACAACAGCTGTTTTCCCGCCACACAACTGACCTTAGCCGATCTTCAAGCTAAACAAAAAATTAAAAAGCTGCAAGCGATGCTATTAATAACTGCCCAACGAATTTTGCACAGTGCATTAAGAGAGCAACTCGAGCGAGAGAAGGGGCGGAGGCGGAAAGCGCCAAAGATTGGCTGAGTGGAACAGACAGAGCCAAGATTCGAGAGCTCTGCTGCAGCTCATTAAGCGACCAACGAACGGGCAACAGCTGTTGATGTGGCTGTTCGCTGTTCGCTGTTCACTCTGCGCTGTTCGATGTGCGCTGTTTGGTGTTCGGTGCTGCGCGTTGTTGTTGCTGCCCGAACTCAAGCTGCAGCTAGTTGGGAACACTTGAGCCGCACTTTGCAACGCCAGGGCAGACAGGCAACCAGCCAAGACGCGGCTCTAAATGAAAACAAAAGTGAAAAGGTCAGCACCCAGGCAGGGAGTCGCAGCTCAAGAAGTGCCAGACGCAAAACGAAGCTCCACAGTTGAAGCGCCAACACTCAGCCAAGTGTAGCCGCTCAGCTCAAACGATTTGGCAGCTATACACTTACCGAAAGTAGTTTAGCTCTCTAAACAATATAAAATTTAACTGGTTTCTGGCATATATATCTAAAAATGGAAAAAAATAAAATAAAAATTAAATACTAAAAAAAAAAAAAAATTAACTACACAAAAATTTGTTTAGATTTTGTAAATATGTTATTATAAATCTTATTAAATCCTAAACCAATTTATAATGTTAAGTATTTAATATAGACGCTGGATTCTAAGTTTATTATAGGAATTGTATAATTTAAGTATACTTATATACAATACTTGTATACACATCATTTTTATCAGTTTCTTCATTACAAACAACTTCGTCGTTCTCAGAATTCTATTTTGATAGAATGACAACAAAGCAGCTAGCCAAGGTAGTTGAAAATCTGCTAAGAAATATATGAGTTCTGCTTTTGCCTTTCTCTCCAACTTTTGCTTAATATATAAATATAATAGATTTTTCTTAAGAATTCTTAGCTAATCTTTAATTCATAGTATAAAACTGCTAAGCTTTACTTTAGATCATTTTTAGTAGTTACTACATTTAATGAACTGAGCTCAAATTAACTCATAGCATTATATTATATATCGTATTATATAGTATTTCACCCATTACATCAAAGGCTCATTACCAAAGGCAATTGTCTACACAAAAAGTTTTCATTTGAATAACTTTTACGGCCTATCTCAGACTTCTTAAATAACATTTGATTATACTTTCTTTTAATGTTTCTTTGAGATGAATTATATACCCCATTTTCTAATGTTAGTGTATAGGCTTTTTTATGGGCCTTTTTTTTGTGTTTGTTGCCCGTTATTGCCCGTTTCTGTTAGCAGTTTTCCGGCTAACAAGTTGCGCATGCGCCTGTATTGGCCCAAAGGCAGGCAAAACATTTGCAGCCAGTTGCTGGCTCTGATGCTGGCTCTCGACTTGACTTGGCTCGGGGTTGCCCAATGTGCGAGTACTTGTTAAAGCCATTCGCATTTTAATCTTTCTAAACTATTGGGCAATAGTTTTGGTTCATCGGGGGGCCAGACCAATATGCGATTATCTGCGGCAGTTGCAAATGGGAAACTGAAATACAAAAATTGCAGCAATTTGAAGAAGCTAAACGTGGCTTTGCGGTCATTAATAGTGACATTTGTTGTTGTTGTTGCTGGTGCTGCTGGAAGGGGCTTTGTTGCTGTAATAGACTGGGAAATTGGGCAAATGAAAAACGCGCTTAATTGAAGAAGCAGCCTCGAGCCGACAGCGACTCGAGTGACAACTTTCAAATGGAAATGAATTATTGGCAGCACTTTCATTTTATGGTACATTTGCAATTCGATTTCCTTTCCCAAAAACCATTCACAGAAGCCGCACCAATCGCATCCGAATCAAACAACATCAGCATCAACTCTGTGAGCCCTGCTTCAATTGGATTTGGATTCCTTGGCCTGTTGATTCCTTGTGATCGCACTGACATTAGCAAATGGCACAAGCGCCGCGGCGTCGTCTGCTCTGAGAGACAATTGCAATTACCCCAGCTACAGAGTCGGCAAATGCTTATGTAATTTTCGCTGACTGACTGCAATTGACATTTGGAGCTGAACAAAAGGTGAATCGCGCCAGCTGCCACAGCATGGACGGACACAAGCCACTCCAAGATGCCGCGGGCAGAGCTAATGAGGCAGCAGCAGTATCAGCAGCAGGCAGTGTCAATGGGTCGGCAGCTCTGCGTCGCCAGCCGACGAAATATCCACATGGCCTGAACATAACGGTGCAGACAGTCGATGACGAGAAGGCCGATGACTACTCGCGTGCCTCCACATTAAGAAGTAGCAGCAGCAGCAGCGGTGGCGGCAGCAGCGACATCGAATCCTGCTGGACCGACACCCAGAAATATCGCATCGGCATGGTTGGCAGTCCCGAGACCCTGGCCGAGCTCCAAGTGCGTCGCTATAAATACCCGTTGACGGCCAACTATTATCTGAACCGAGCTGGACCCGGCGCTGGCCCGCAGCAGGAGAAGCCCACGCCACTGATGCTGCTGGGCTATGCCAGGCGCGCCTGCCGCTGGAAATATCTGCGCTGGCCCATCATCTTCGTGGCCAGCGTGCTGCTCTTCTTTGGACTGATCACCTACTGCCTCTGGCTGCACGACGTCAGCGTGGCTCGAGCACGTTTCCTGCAGCGTCGCTACGAGGTGACCTCGTCCAGCTCAACCACCGAATGGGACGGCCTGCTCGATGATGAAACTATGGAGGTGCTAACAACGACTACGGAGAATATAAATACCATGCAGGAGTCGACGCGGCTCAGAGCGGTCGAAATACACAGGGAACACACGACGGCCATGTCTGTGACGGAGGCGGACATTCCGGACGGCGATGATGATTATGACGATGTCCTGCTACCTGCTGACAGTATTCGCTTCACCTCCGGCCACCAGAATAGCTTTGGAGTGCCCATTGAACAGGATAAGCGAATGCTGCAACTGCTCAAAGAGGTAAGTGGGATTTGTTACTTGGGAAATTTTCTAGTTTTTCTATTTTCTTTAATTAGCTTAAGCTGAACCTAGAATTTACTTATCATACAATAGCTCCCCAGCTATTACCTTTCAATTGGAAAATTCTTTTTTATAGCGTCTTTTACAAGATAGACTCATTATTTTATTCAACAAAAATATATATTTCTTCATTAAAGAGTACAATAAACTTTTACGAAAGCTATATAGATCTTTGCTTGAAAGTGGCGCTAGCTTCTCTATTTAGAAAATAAAAAGTCGAAATTGAAAGACCAACTCTATTTTATGGGTTATAAACCTAAATTCGAATAGCTTTGTTATAATCGACAACGCTTTAACCCCCTTAATAAATTCCTAAAAAACAAAAACAAATGCTTTAACAAATGACAGAATGCATGATTATAAAAAGTTGCCTCTCTATGAGCTTCTCATTAGACTCCAAACAATAGGCAAGCCAAAATCACTTTATCTACTTAATTATTTATTTAGTGAAAAATGCATTGGACATTACAAAAAACTGCATCTGTCAGTGCAATAAAAGAGAAAATTAACGAAATTCTCTTGATCGATGTTTTATTTATTATTTTCTTATTTACAATAAAATGACAATAGGCAGACGATAGTATTCTCAAATAGAAACTACGTATATGTTGATTGAATAAGATTAGAAAATTATTTCAACAATATAACAAAGACGATTCGAGTATTTTATTGGACAGACCTCAGCTTACAATCAGGGATATTATTCAATATATAAAGTAGAAGGTGTTCATGGAAAAGTAAAAAATAAATGTAAGAAAGTCTTAAGTGTAATAAATAATGTAAGATATAAAAATGCATTAAAAAAAGCAAAGAATAATATTAATAACTTAACAATGTAATGAAATAATATTAAAGGAAGGGAGACAAAAAGGATATAAGGGCTTGGGAGGTGACTACCTAATGTGCTCCCATCAGATCATTTTCCTAAGATGATCTATTTATTCCCTTTTTGTTCTACTGCCTCTCATCCACTCTCACTCTGTCTTCCCTCAACCCTCTGCTGTAGCTGTTACCGAAGCCGCAGTCCACACCCCCCGCCAATGTGCGTCTGTTGACGCGCGTGTCGCCAACACTGCCGCCGCCCTCGGGGGTCAGTGGCAGACCGACAGAGGCGATGACCACGACGCCATCGAGCAGCATTGGCAGCGGCTGCATCTCGACGGCGCTGCCCATGTGTCGTGGCATCCTGGACTATGATCTGACCTACAACAATGGCAACGGAGCACCCCGCGACGCTGCCTCCATGGCGGCCTACGAGCAGCTCATCGGCGCCAACTGTTCGGCCCGAGCCGTCGAGTTTGTGTGCGCTGCCCTGGAGCCGGAGTGCCGACCCTTGCACATCGGCCAGCTGCCGCCGTGCCGGCGCATTTGCAAAGGTAACTCAGAGGGAGTCCGATCTGTTGGGTCATTAATCAGCTGCGCTATTTCGCTTTAGCCATACTGGAGGCCTGTTCCATTGTGATAGCCAACTCGGACCAGCTGAGCGAGCTGTTCGACTGCAGCCAGTATCCGGATGCGCATGAGACGCACAAGTGCGAGGATCCAACGCGCAGGCGCGACTTTTGCTACAGTAACGAGTTCCAGTGCCACGATGGCAGCTGCATTCCCCAGCAGTGGCAGTGCGACAACATCAAGGACTGCGCGGGCGGCGAGGACGAGGACGAGCAGTGCCTGGTGTGCGAGCACGAGGAGTTCCGATGTCGCTCCAATGAGAAGTGCATAGCGGAGAGCCTGCGCTGCGACCTCAACTACGATTGCTTCGATGCCAGCGACGAGGAGGACTGCGACGATTACGGCTCTGGCGATGCGGCGCCCTTCGATGAGGCTGAGTTGAATGCCTTTCCGCGCATTTTCTCCTACGCCAGTTTCCTCTCGCCCAATGAGACGAACGAGAAGCTCTACACTTACATCACAGCCACCACAGACGAGGAGGCGGGCACCGAGACCAAGTTCCAGGTGCATCAGGTCGCAGCGCCTGTCCAGGCAGCGAATGCCAGCGCCGAGGAAGCAGCGGGCGGACCCAAGGGCTTTGGTAAGCTTTACAAATTCTGAGATCTCCCCATACACATCCAGCTCAACCCATGAATACTTTAGTGAACTTTCGGGATAGCAAGGAGATCATGATGACCAGCGACTCGGAGAACAAGTTCAAGTATTCCGCGCAGCGCACCAATCGCACCAGCAACAAATTCAGCATCTCCACGGCCACAGTGCCGACGCGCAGTGCCAGCGCGATTCCGCCGTCGACGCTGGCGCAGCAGCGCGAACGGGAGCGCATCACAATCAGCAGCAGTAGCAGCAGCAGCAGCAGCAGCAGCAGCACGAGCAGCAGCACATCAACTACAATGGCCACGCCCACCAGAACGTCTGGACGCTGTTTGCCGCACGAGCTGCGCTGTGTGAGTGGCAAGTGCATAACTGTAAATCAACTGTGCGATAAGGTAGGTCAGCCAAGGGAAACCTAAGAGTCAACTTCAACTCTCTCTCTCTCTCTTTCTCTCTCTCTCTCGTCTTTTAGCAAATAGACTGTCCAGATGCGGCTGATGAGATCATGTGCGTCTATCGTGAAAGGCCCACTGTGCGTGCTGTATCCACAACAACAACAAAGACAACACCCACAACAACAACAGCAGCATTAACAACAACAACAACGCCAGCAATGACCACAACGAGACGTTCGGTGCGAACCAGTCCCAATCGAAGTCGAAAGCCCAAGTCCTAAGCAGTTGAACTATAACCGCTGTACATTATATGCAATTTGATACATCTATTATTAATATTATTTATATATAACTTTCTTATCTTTCAATCGCGCGCTCGCTATATGTATGATATATACTTATATATATAATAATTGATAATTGGCTAGATCTTAAGTTGTTGTAGATTGTTTGACTATTTTTATGTATCAACTGCCAGGTGAATGTCTGGTATGTTTGTGTCTTTTAGCAATAATAAAGTTAAGATTGTAGATAATCCAATAATCAAAGTGTGGTAAGTGAAAAGGGCAGCACTCTTGATTGTTTAATGCATTATCTTTTGGCTATGCAAACGACAACCTTGCCAGGAGCATAATACACTTCCATTGTCTGAGCACTGAGACCTAGAGGGTCTTTCTCTACCTTTATGCTCACGGTACAATACCTATTTAAATTTTCAAATACTGAAATCGATACAAAACCCAAAAGACAATTAAACTCGGGACAGTATTATAATTTCACGGCGACCTTCAAGCTGAGGTGCTTGTCCACGTCAGCCCACGCATAGAAAGTCATTCGGAAACATTCAATTAACGTGCCCATTGTCATTGTCATCGATAAAGGAAGGCGAGCGAAGGCGAGGGCGGGGGGGCGGGGTCGTTGGCTAGTCCATTCATTATCTATGTGCGAAGTGCATTAAAGACACAGACAGACAGCTGACACTCACCCACGCCCAATGCGACTGGATATGTAACATAATATGGCCCCACTCAGGCAGCGGACTGCAACACGGAAGACAACGTGACAACGTGACAGCGGGGCGAACAACGGGGCTTTCGGGACAAAAGGCACTTGTCAAATGAGTGCGGCTGGCAAATCTACAAACCACAAGCAGATTAAATTCCAGTTCAGACATAAATGACCAAACCTAAGGCAATCTGGAGATGGAACTCAATTTTTGAGCTGAGTGGGAGAATGATATATGAAGGAGCTGAAATTGAGATATTCATATAATTTCTGTTAGAAATGAGTAGATGGATATTGTATGGTATATCGAAAGGTATTAATTTTATTATTATTACTATAACTAAATAAAAATTGATATTAATATAGAGAGGTTAATAGAGAAATTTCAATTCATTTATTTCAGAAACTTATAGCTTTCCAAATTTAAAAAAAAAAAAATGTTTATTATAAATTAGTCGAATATTTTTTATAAAGATATATAAATATATAAATAAAATACATATATAATATAAATAAAATAAATATACAAAAATTTCTACTCTATATATAAACTAGATGCAGTTCACCTAGGTAGAAATATTTAAAAACACATTTCGATATTTTCATAAAAATTCTTGTTCATTCAAACAATATATTTATATAAATTTCTACTATAAATGATAGAGAACAGTTACATATTAGCTATACTAGTTGAAATATATTTCTATATAGACAGCTCATCAATGTTGATCGAAAGCTTACTAAAAATGTCTATGGAATGTCTAAATGATTAATTTCAATAACTTGAAGCGATCAGTGTCAATTCTTGTAAAAATCGGAAGCCGGAATATTGAATAAAACAATCTGCTTTTATTCTTCAAAAATCATCTAACAAGCTTGTCAAATTAACCTCCAAAATTACTTAAAATACGCTGCTTTTTTTTAGGGTTATGGGAAGCATAAACATTTTTATAGTTTTTCAATAGTTTATTGCAAATAATCTTTAACGTTGTGTATGTATAAGAAGTCAAACTCAATCAAGCTCGTGTCGATATTGAGTTCAGTGCTTAAGATCTTTAATATTTATCATATATGAATATGTAGAATGTCTTATATATTTAGAGAGCTATTTAAGTGATACAGTAGTGTAATAGAAGGTAATATTATAAAATCTCTTTTATGGTACATGTTCTCCATTGAATCGGAGAGACTCAAGAACAATTTGGTCAATTTTCAGAGATCTAAGTTCGTCAAACATCTCTCCATGACAATTTACTCTTTTGACTTCACAGGCGAGTATTAGCACGACACGCTCTCATCACAAACAAGCAAGCATTGATAGGACTCTCAGACAGTCCCAAGCTGTGTGTTGGTCGTGCTTTGGTGTTGATACGGCTGAGCACTCAGTTAATGTGACACGCGACTCAGAACGGAACACAAATCTGCAATTGCTGCCGATTGTCTGTTTGGAAAAATGCAGAGCAGTTTTTTTCCTCTTTTTTGGCACAGGCGCAGCCCCTGGTAACCCGAGCCGTTGCACAGAACCGGAGCTCGCACCCGACTGCTACCACAGAAGTTAAATGCATTTTGATTTCACCCCCGAGCAAAAAGAATAGAGGCAAAAAATCAGATGAAACGACCTTTTTTGTGCGTGTGTGAGTAAGTATTTGTGTGTGTGTGTGTGTGTTGGGCTGCCCTCTGATTGATTGCCATCAAAAAACGAGAGAAAAAATCCGCTTTTGGCATAACGACAAATGCGATTTGATTGCTGTTCTATACTTGGGCCCTGCACAATGACAATAACTATTAATATATGTTTTCGACAATCCCTAATCCGGCGAAACAACTTTTATGCGCAATTGCATCATCGGTTTCAGCCCCGACTTCCAGAAAATTGCAACGCGAAATGGGATAAAAAATGAAAGTTTTTCCTTCCTTTTTCCATTTTTTTTTTCCTGGCAGTTTGAGTAATTTTGGGTTATCGTTCCGGCATTTGATACGTCTGTTTCGCCGTACAATTTTGACAGCTGTCTCTCGTCTGCATTTTCACCTTAATTAAGTGATATTAATCGTTCTGAGAGAGAGCAAAAAATACCGAATTTGAACCCTAACAACAATTTTTCAACACTCTCTCTGAAAAGGGGGCGCTAGCATATTAGCGGGTGGGCGTTGGTCGGTGGGTGTTGACCTTAATCCGTTAGCTGACAGCCAGCCAGCAGCCGGCCGAAAAAAAGGAAAAGCAACAATCATTTTGTGGGCATTAAAAGCTTTTCACAATTTCACTTGCCTTGGCGTAGGCCCCGTTTGAGTGGTTGGGCCACACGCATAATTTTCATTTAGTGCCCCTTTTGTGTACCCTTTTATTATGAGTATATTCCCTTCTCTCTTTTCTCTCTCTCTCTCTCTCTCTCTCTCTCTCTCTCTCGGCTGTTGCTGCTGTGCGACCCTTACCAATATTGTTAATGGAGCCGATTGTAATGGCCCAACTGGGTATGTGCCTTTCGGGTCAGCGAGTGGGCGGCCATACGGGCGCATATGAAGGTGTTTTTATCTAAGCCTAGCCAGGCTATAAATTTAATAGCTAGTGCACTGTCATATAGTGCTATGCGCTTTGACCCTATAACCCTTGCCCTTACATGAACAACGAATTAGTAATAGAAAATTTAAAATTCACTCAAAGTAGAAATTTAAGAGAAGAGTCTTGAAGTTTGACATCTAAAGCAAGTCAATATTATTTGGCGATGGGAGTTTTTATAAAAGAAAAATTGTATCTAGTTGATGGATCAACCGATTTTGTATTTTATCTAATTGATGGATCATCGGATTTTTTTTTATCAGTGAAATAAAATATTAACGATACATAATAAAATTTAAGCAAAATTTTGTTGTTACATCTTACCAAAAAAAAAAATTCTTTTTTTTTCAATTTTTAATTATAAAAAACTAAAATTAATTATAAAATAATAATATAGTTAATTTCTGTAGTAAATGAACTCTAATCATCTCAATGCATCAGCTCAATTCATAAACTCATAAGTCATACTTCACTTTAGAAGAAAAAACTTTTCTGCATCTTCAATGAAAAATTTCTTTCTGTCAAATTTTCGTCTGCTAAAACACATAAAACATATAAATTTTCAAGAAATTTCAGCTCTCAACCTTGGCCACAAGCCCTTGACTGAATTGACTGAAAAGGCCTGTCTGAGCCACTCGCTTAACCTCAAGCTGAGTCCTAGACAACATCTCTGCTCCTTAAGCTGGCAAACAATAAAGCATTAGGCCTAAGCTCTCTCACTCTGTTTCTCGGCTCGGTTCGTAATTTTAGTGCCCCATTTGTCTGGCTGAGCTCTTAACATTAAGTACAGAGCTCTTGAGAGCTAAGCGTCCCGCAGGAACCGAAACCCGTTCTCGAACCCTTGACTGACCTCTCACACATATGCGTATCCTTTAAGACGACACGACCCTTAAGTCGTGGCACCAGTGCAGACCTCCAGCCATGTCCCGTCGTGTGCTCTAAATACACACCCATAATTACGAGCTCATCATATCGTGCGCATAGTTACGCTTGATCGTTTTTAAATTGCGAGCAACGCACTTCCGCCCAGAAACAGAAGCCGACCCGAGGCGGATTCAATGGGCGATGGCCCTGTGTGTCGGCACTTCAAGAAGTTGACATAATTATGCCAGCAGCAAGACACCATCGGGACGTTTATCGTTGATTGTTCGGTGTGCAGCCCGAAGGAGTCAGGGCAACCCTTAAGTCTATCGGATGCAGGCGGCAGAATCTATATCTTGCCACTTGGGGTGCCAATAGTAATGAACATTCCATTGCGACAGTTGTTACTTTTGTTGCTCAAGGAAATGGGCGGGACACGCCCCGATGACAGAGATTTGCATAGCTGTCAAATGGAACTACTCAAATTCCGCTCGTCGTACAGTTGGGTCATTTGAGCAAAGCGCAATCTGGAAAATCATTAGGTGCATTTTCCAATTGATTTCACGCGCTAACCACAAGAAAAAGCAACAACAAAACAAGGAAAAAAAAATAAAATAAAATAATACCAAAAAGAAAACAAAGCAACTCTCAACCAAAATCAATAAGCAGCAAAAGGCAACAAAACAAACCGAGAGAAGAGGCAACCGCAACACGAGCACGAGGCACATTGAGATTGCACAGAGGCAGCCATGTAATGCCCATGCATACCAAGCCCGGACCCTAGCCGACCAGACCCCATCAGAGCAGACAATTGTTTCATTGTGACCAGCTTGTCACGTAGCTGCAGGGAAAGGCAGTTGGCTGGCTGGCTGCGTTTGTCGTCCGTTGTCTCCTGTCTCTTGTCTCCTGTCGCATTGTTGCAAAATTGATGAGGCGCAATGGATTTGGTATGCCCGTGCCTCAGCTGAGACCCGTCGATGATGCCATCCCAGTTATCCCAGCCATCCAGTCAGTCAGCCATCCCTAGCCGATTGCCAAACGGCAGCACCGACAGCAGCAGCAGCGACAGTGGCAGCAGTAGCAGCGACAGTGGCAGCAGCAGCGGCAGCTACTGAAAGAATTAAGCAAAAATTATAGATAATTGTGACGAATAATGTATGTCCTTATGAGGTGGCTTTATCAAGAAAAGAGTGATATGAAATTTAGAAAAGAAAACTGGATATTGTACGTGTAGCAATTGGAAAGAGAGAGAGAGACTAGATTGTATTGAAAAAACTGAGATAAAAGAGATAGAAAACTATGCTCTCATTCTTTCCATTCTATCTCACTCTCTCTCTCTCTCTCTTCCTTTTTAACTAACACTCTATCAGTGTTCCTTTTTATCTCACTCTGTCGCATTCTGCCTCGCGCTGTCCTCTCTGTCTTTCTCTATCATAATCTATATTCTATATTATATCCTAATTTATATTTAAATATACATATTTATGTATACACCCATATATACATTGTAAAGGATTTATTTGCAATTAAGTAATTTGTATATAGTAGAAAAGCCTATGATTATAAAAAATTAAGACACAAAAAAACGTTTATTGAGATTAATATAAATATATTATTATTAATAACTATTAATTAAGCTGTTACAATATATGTAATATATCACTCAGTCTTTTAGTGCGCCGCATGATCTATCTAAGTACATGTATCTAATGATCCAACCACATTACATAATTCCATATTAGCTCACATATAAACATATATATACTATATATACTTGATATGTTACTTATCTCTTACCAGCACACAACTACCTCTATCTAAGGGCATAAAGTGCCGAAAAACTTCGCATACAAAGTGAAAATTGCTTTTGGGCAGCATCTTT